CTCCCCTTGGTTACAACTTATGTTCTCCCTGATAATCACATGAGTATCACTTACTAATAATCATCTTGTAAAAACTTATTTAGCCGAATACATCTTGCAGCACCACATCAAATAGTAATGTGGCACATAAGCTTAACTGATATCAATAACTTATAACCACTATATCTCAATTAAATCGTATTCCGCCTTATGACAAACTGCATACTTGCAACTAATTTGTATGCACCATCAGCCGGCAAGTATAAATATAAATAAATAGTCTATTGCAGATCAGAACATTGAGTCTAGAGCATGTCTCTTACGAACACACTCATGTTTAACGATTTTTTCCTAGCTATCTGTCCAAGATCCATATAATTATCACTCATGTATTTAAATTTTATTTTGATAACCGTTCATGTGTATTAGAAGTATTACTAAGTTCTATGACGGTCAAGTAAAAATGAGGTTGAGAAAATCTCCCCGTAACTAAATAAACCGTATCAAACTAACTGGAACACTAGTTGGAATTCTTCTCCACGGTAATACTTTTGTTCCTTCAGTTAGCCTACTAATACAGATGCAATTGGAGTTCAACTCATATGGACAACTTACCGGCATAATCGTTATCCGATTTCATAATTCAAACCAAAACTAATACCAATATTAACATTTCTACAATATTCATTACTTTTAATATTTCTAAACACAAAATACATACTACCTATGAGTTAAGTTATTAACCAACGGCTATTAACACGCATGAAGGCAGATATTTTAAAATTATTACATGTATTTCTCGACCAGGTGCTGCCGCCTTCTATTTGATTTATCATTCAGCTTATCATTACCCGGGGGATTCTTACTAGTCTTGGTAACCTCCGGCGCGCGACGATCCCATCCGATTTGGTATCGAACCAACACCACGTTGATTCTGGTGGGAGAGTAGTGTAGTGGCATTGGACCATAACCACACAATCCGCAAAGCTGAACATCAGACAACTCGGAAAATAGATATTCAATACTTAACACGGAGAAATACCTAACGGTGGAGAAGGCGCGAACAATGAGTTGAGTGGATTTGAGTTGATCGAACGGCATGGCTCGGTCATGCAGGCGTGGTCCACCTGAATGTTATCTTATTTCTTCTATTCATATTAAATATATTGTTCTTTCTCTAGCCTAACCTTGTTCTACATCATGTATTTGTAATTGATACGATACAGTGAGTTGGCGTAGTCGATGGTGTGACTTCCACGTAAGATCTTATAGATAAGGCAGTTATATCATGACGAATCTACAAATTTAGAATTAGGTCTATTATTAGAGCAACACTAACATCATAGTAGACCATAATTCTACAGAGTGATCGACTAGGTTTGATTGCTAATGATCTAGTATTTTTAAAATTAAAGCAAGCAAACTAATCTGAAATTGGTGTCTTCCTTTATGTACAGTAAAACTTCAGTTAGTCTTCATCACAGGTCAATTAGAACGATCAAACTATTCTAACGTGAAAATCAGGAATTTTCAGTAATTTAGAACAACTTAGTTAAGATCTTACAAAACATTTTGATTCCATGTTTAAAAGGTCCTACTACGCTTGTGACCCCGAACAACCTTCAATGACATTAGGAGGTTCACGGTATTCTGTAGTGTTTATAAGTATTTGAATTATCGTATGAACAAAGAATCCCAGAAATAACGTAATCGAATCAAGAAGTACTAGATAACCACAAACAAATGTACTGTATTTAGAATTCGAAATCAAGCATTCAGCACGTACAAAGGAATCATTAGTTCATTCATACACCACAAATAGTCAAAAAGACCACAATGACATTTGTGGAAACCAGCAACTTTTTAAACAACGAACAACATGATTTCAGGAAAGGATTATCTCGCACAACAAATCTCCTTATAACAAGTAAGAAATGCATAAAGGTTCTAGACAACAGGGAATCAGTGGATATTGTCTACATAGACTTCGGTAGAACATTTGATAAGTTGCCAACAAATAGACTGCTCTTCATTCTGGAAAATCTAGGCATTATCGGACCTCTACTAAAATGAATCAAGCATCTCTTGATAGGTCGTAGGTAGAAAGTAAGAGTAATTCGCAAGTGTTCCACCTGGATACCAGTACTTTAATCGCGTTAGTGAATAACGGATTTAGACAGGTCGAATAACGAGAATGGACTTTTGAATACATATATTTCGCATATAAAGCGAATGGAATAGAGAGAAGAGATGGCTGGTAGGCCAACTCCCATTTAATCAAGTGTCAATCGATACTAATAGTTACACAAAAGTTAGTTACAGACATGTGATGAGTAATGGGATAAGAAATGTACACACACCTACGCTCTCATATAAAAGCAGTCAAGATTGATAAGCAAATAAATAACAAGGTCAGAACGTGACTCAAGTAGAATGAACAGAATGGGCCGTCCGAAAACTGGATTAAGGTATATGGGCTTAACATAATAATCGACACTAAAAGTTCTTAAAGAAGTATCACAAGGTTCTGTCCTAGGTCCTTTACTTTCTATACTGTATGGAAATCTCTCAAGTATAGTGGAGTCCCCAATGGTGGTATACGCTGACGATATAAAAATCTGGCAAGAAATAACAGGAGACACAGAAGGACATGCACTTCAGACAAACTTAAGTATTGGGATTGGCCGGTCTGAAGAGTGGCTGGTGCCCATCAACTTGACTAAGTGTGTCTATATGCACACCAGGAGTACTGAGGTAAATAAGTACAATATACGAGAAGAGCCTGCATTCGTAGTCCTGTCTCATAAAGATCATGGGGTGACAGTGAGTCATGATCTTAAAACCGCAGCGCACTTCCACGGTGTTGCAGCTCAGGGTATTAGAACTCTATGAGCCTTAAGATGGATGTTCACCAACCTAGATGCTACCACGTTCACCACAGAATACACAACCTTAGTGAGCACTAAACTTGAAAACCGTGTTCAGCCCTGCAAGCCTCTGTTTAAAAAGTGATTGAGACATCCTGGAAAACATACAGAGGGTAGCTACTAGTGCAATTCCAGATCTCCGGATTTACCACACAAAAAGCGGCTTGAAAAGCTAGACCTCTTTACTCTACCCTATCAGAGACCAAGTTGCGATCTGGTTTTGATGAATAGAATACTAAGAAATAATTTTGAACTTAATTTGTCCTCCCTTTTTCCTTCCGCTAGATCGTAATATCTCAGAAGACGTAGCAGACGAGTAGAAAAGCCAAGAATGAACAAAATACCCATGGCATACGGGTTTCCATACCGAATCCTCGATCCTAGAAACCTGTTACCTGAATCAGTGTTGTCCGTACCTTAAATGGACTCATTTAAGGGAAGACTGGACACTCACAGAAGCAAAATAGAAAAAGAAATAACATAGGACACAGGATTTCATCTTTACCACAAAAATCTGAATTCCGACACGTGATTGAAGCTCCATCTATCTACGCCTGAAGAGAAAGTTTCACGAACTGAGAGACCACCATTGCTAGGACTGACACGCAACCGAGCCTCATGTCCTTTTCAAAGTGAAATTGAAACGTGATTCCGATGCACTGCATTTTCATCCATTTGTACAAATATATCTGACGTAGTTAAGTTAGTTATATTGCACTGTGTTGAGCATGATGTGTGGAGCATTCGCTCTGGTAATCAGCTCTGGTTATACTTCCATACTTCAACAGGATATCAGTGAAAATTTTGTTTTCAGGTCTTAACATTCGGACTCCATGAAGTTCGTAATTGGAGATAGTTGTGCCGCTGACCTGTAAGCTTGTGTTTGTGTCATTTAGTTTCTTTTTCCCCATATCTACAAGGAGGTTGTAAGCACCGAGAAAGTCGGCCCCGAGAATGGGTTGTTTGATTTCAGCTACGATGAAAACCCATGTGAAACGTCTGCGGAGACCGAGATCTAAGATAAGTGATTGTTCGCCATAAGTTTTAATGACTGTGTTATTGGCTGCGACTAGAGACAATTTAGTACTCTGAGAGTGCCGTCGTTGAGAGAGGTGTAATGGGATAATGCTGATTTCAGCTCCTGTATCGACCAAAAAGTCTGAGCCCGAAATTCGATCCCTGACGTGAAATAGACAGCTCAGGTAGTGGCCAGAAACATGCGCCGCCATCACTGTATGGCCGGACCGTTTCCCTGATTCTCTGTGTCAGCCGCAGAAAATGTGCACGGTCGTGTGCAACGCCGTGCTTTGGTGGTATCAACAAGCTTCGGATGTTTGCTTCGGTGACCGAGACCGTTGTCTAGAAACAGATCTTCGTTTGGAGGGGGATCTCGATTGTCTAGCTTGGATGGTTGCTATGGTCGACTGCAGGGACGCCAGCTGGCCCATTAATTGCGTTAACTGCTTTTGAAAGGAGGCTAAACAACTAATATATGCTGGTCCAGGTGGTTGCAAAGAGTTCGAAAATGAGACAAAAGTTGTTACCGGAGGCGAATCAGTATCAATGAGTTTGGTGGGAGAGGACATTACGAGAAAAATAAACCAGTATATCGTGTGAAATGGTAAATCATATAACAGTTAGAATAACACGAGGCTAACCAAATAATTGTGGTGGACCAAAAAGTATATTAACCAAAAATTAGCAATAAAGTTATTAAAAATCAACAGAAATGTTAATATAAATAAATTAATTATTACAAATACAATAGAAAGTTGGGACTTTACTTAAGTTTACCAAATTGATGCGCGTTCGGCTTTGGTCTGGTACTAAGAAACTACAATTATAAATGCTTGGTAATTCCGATCTGGTTGACGAACTCTCCAGTGATATAATCCAACGTAGGATGTGATATACTCCAACTACAGTCTATAAACGTAGATAGTATTTGATTTAGACTTCAGTTAACTCAATCACAAACGAAGATAGAACGAGGAATGCGTGAGTAGTAGTGTATTTGTTAGCCAGTAAGAGCATGTCACGCTATGTGGTTGCACAACGGAAAAGTGTGTTCAAGGTCATTTACTAAAACAACAGGTACAATCATTTAATGATAAAATATACAGACAAAATAAATACAAATAATATTAAAAACTATTTACAAAATAAGCTTATCAGGCCTATCTCCACAAGCTATTATTCACAGAAGTCCTGCAGCCTTATGTACTTCTTTCAGGTAGGTCTCAAAATTGTCCAAACTGGTAAATCGTTACGATAACATGTTATCGTAACGATATTATTCATAATATCATTTAAGGTTAGTATTGTATCAAGCATCATTATGAAGGTATCATTTTCGTTACCTGAAGGATGAAGGCTATCAGAGAAATAGTGCAGCTGAACTCAAGTAAATTTTAAGAAACTGTCTCGATTTTACCGCTTCTGCAAAACCTAAAGAATTGTCAATTGGATGCACCAATCGTATCGTGACAGTTTAACCTTCAAATTCTCTGTAACCTCGAACAATGGACGATGCCACTGGATCGTTGCCGGGACGAAAGAAAAAGAGTTAAGGATCAGGAAGGTCAGTACTGCTAGAGGGTCGTGATATAACTGTGTTCATGTCCAGTCACTGAGATCTTATGCAAATAGATTATAATCTCTTATGTAAGCCTGTGTTCTGTCTCATGATGCTGTTGTGTTTTAAAGGTTGAATTCGGACTAATATTTAGGAATTGACTAGTTACGTGGATGTATTATGCGTCTCAGTATCACTTCACGTTAAGTATCAATAATAGTGGTGATTACGACCGACTTAATACGTTTTAGATTTCTACTTTATGATAACACTAATCTACCATCAGTGACCGTTAAAATCAGACTTGGAGCTCACTGTATATTTTTTGGGCTCTAATAAGCTTATGTGTGCCGGAATCTTCTTTTTATTGTGCATTAAGCACTTGATTAGTTATTGGATGCCAATAGATTTTTTGGATGGTGCAGTACGTACAAACCGTTTTAGTCCTATATTCGTTTACTTGTACGCAAACATTGGTACAAAGTGGCACCACCATGTATGCGCGCCACACAAAATTTTTGTGAGAGCTGGAATACCTCGCGGTTGTCCAAACAAGTATGTGGTTTTCTTGGGGAGCCATCCCCCGAGCCTTTGACTTGGAGATTGATCCTCAAGTCATTGAGACAACGTTAGTATATGTAGTCCCACGGTAGTCGGTGGCCAAGAATAGGTTCGTAAAACATTTGCTCCTTCATGAACCTGAGACCCATGTGGACCGTTGGTTAAGAATCAGGGTTTTCCAACTCTCTTAGGTGGATTCTTCGTACCCACCAAACCGGTCTAAGGTCCGGACATTCACTTTTCGTACTCTGAATTTCGTAAACAACACCCCCGCCGTGAGAAAGAAATGAGTAGGACTTCCTTGCCAGTCGCTATGTACGAGTGAACATATGAGAGCCTCTTGAAAGGAGGTGAACTCTCCCTGCCCTCGGCTGTACTGAAGGGGGCTTTAATCCTAAAAGCTAACCTATGTTCTCTTGTGTCCCTAGATGCCCTGGTATGGTCAAGAGTGGGGTGAGCCCTCCCCTCGAAATGCTCTCACGTGGCCACGCCCACACAGCCTCTGCCAGGGAAGTTCTAATTACTGCCTTCTCGTGGCGGGGGTGTTTTTTACGAGATTGAGAGGACGGAAAGCGAATGTCCGGCGCTTTAACCGGATCCCAAACCAACGGTGCACATGGGCTCCAGTATTCTGAAAGAACAAATGGTGTATGAACCAATCGTTGGTCACCGGCTACTATGGGACTGCATCTCCTTACGATGCTGCACTGCCTTGTGGATCAGACCTTCAGGTCGAAGGCTCCGGGTGTGGTCCCCTAATATAACCACCTGCTCCGGTTTGGGCACGCGGACAGTATCACAGCCCTCACACATATCAAATGAGATCTGTGTGGCGCATATGTATTTGGTGCCCCCTTGTACCAATATCTATGTGTTCAAATAAAATAACTAATAATAAATGTTCTCTTATGACCATCTGCAAACATTAGTGACACAATATATTGGCTGATTTTTTTCTGTGTTCTGTTACACATATTGGTAGTCTGAATGTTTACTGATGTCAGTGGGAAATCTGTAGTATCCTGTGGTATCAATGTATGTTCGACTATAAATAATGGTTGACTTGTATCAGTGTTTTACATAACATGGTTACTGGTATTTTAGCGAAGGGTCCTTAACAGACGTCTGTGTTTATGTTATTTGTACGTTTTCTTCGATTGAATGACGCAGAGTGCTTCACAGTAATGTAAGCTTCTTTTTTTCTAGCACATCTACCAGTAGTGGTTTCTAAATGGGATCGACTAACAGCACGATGTCATCAGAAATATAATGCAGATGTTTTTGGCGAAACGTTGCTCAGTTAACCTTGAAATGGACAAGCTAACAGGCTATCGATAAATCTACTCATTGATTGTTGGTATAGGTCATGACCTAAAACATATCATACAGTTTGGCATGTACAATCCATGGTATTGTTGTCTGGGAACACTATGCACTGTTGCGTTAAATCAGTACCAGTGACTTACTCTTTTCAATACTTGTGTCGCTCTAGATGATGCACATGCCACTAGTCTTGCTTTGACTTTGTTTATTTATCCGTGTGACTTTACATGATACATGAATACGTGACAATTGGAGTTGATATAGCACTGAATCGAATAATATGTTGTTTACTCGTTAGAACAAGTGCCTGTTTGAAACTGTTTGTGTTTTCAGACCTTTTCTGTGATATTCATTTTTGGAGATGTAATTGACCAGTAATTTCTTGAGTTTAGTAAGTAACCAGTGTATAGAGATGGGATGTCAAGGAAAACTAGCAATCAGAAATGATAGACACTGTATCAAACAAACAATGAGTTGGGGTAAACTCCAGTTTCCATTGCATCCTGTACGTTTAAGTTGTGTTGGTCGCAAGGAGAATGACTTGTGTTCATTACGTATACTTTGAACTGAGTCTTACAACTAGATATCATTTGATGCTTTCGTGATATTGGTTTACTAATATTTCATTAATGTTGAAACTGTTTCTTACTGGGTTGGGCAGTTTACCGACGGTAAACCGACAAGTGTATCTAAATTTTATCAATTGGCTCATAGGCTACTTACATCTGTGGTACATTTTTCTAACATATCCGACTATTTGAATTGATGGATCGTTTGTGTGAAAAGGTTTTTACAAACTCCAAACGAAATTATTACTGGCCTATTAATTTATTTAATGAGTGTATTGCTTAGCTGAGTTATTGTCTATCCACTAGGGACTAAAGTAATTTCTGGTTTTTGCGTCCATTGAACTCATCGTTAGTACAAATCATGCTTGAGACCATGTATTATTCTAATCCCTACTTTGAAAGTATTTGTTCACACACTAATTGTCATGCTATACTTTCAGGATCCGAGAAACGTGATAGTAGACGTCCTTTAACTGTTCGAGATGTGAGTTTAATTCGCTTGGCAAAGAATGGGGATTTGGATTCAATCAAACAAATGATAAAGGAAGGAGTAAACATAAACGAGCAAGATGAAACAGGTAAGGAAGTGTACCGATAGAAAAGAGGGAATTGTGTTGTATATCACTGAAAACGTGTGATTGTGTTTCTGTATGGGACTTAAAGTTATACAGGATAAATTGTGTATTTTATATTGTTGTAAATCAGTGTATAGACAGAATAAAACAAACGTTTAGAGCGGACCAACTTAATTGGCTGTTTTTATTGTCTATTAATCTACGATTTGTGCGTGCTATGGTTAAGACTATTTGTCCCACAGCTTGACCTTTTAGACGTGGAATTTACCACTTAAAAGTAGAACTCCTTAGTATCTCAATATAAATAGTTGGCTTTGATCATTAATCTCAGTCCACCGGACTTTTGTTTCGATCACTGATGCATGTTCGTATTTCATTTCATCACATGGGCTGTTCTTCATGCATTTCCACTTAAATTTGTAGGTTGGACTGTATTGCACGAAGCATGTGTGCGGAACCTTCCACGTATGGTTGATTATTTGCTACGACATGGAGCTGATCCTAGTATCTCAAACATAAGCGGTGAAATGGCACTTCATTGTGCTGCGCGAGTAGGATGTCTGCGTATTGTTCGAGCGCTCATATACTACAACGCCGACCCTTTGGTGTCGAACCACAGGGGTGAGAAACCTTTGGACTTGTGTCATGACCCTGAGGTATCCAGTTTTCTCAAACAAGTATGTTTTGGATGTAATTTTTTAAAGGTTACATTTTGTAGAAAGGATTGTGTCGTAGGAATATCAGGAGCTTATCAAGCAGACCAGTTTCTTGAAAGAATTGTACCTTTGAGTATTTTTTTAAGACACTCCAAAAACTTATGGTGATACTTTTATGCTATGACAACTTGGGCCGGTATATATCTGTTACAGGCCCTACGTTGATGCTTACTGATTGACATCCTTATTTGTGTAGCCTTTACACTTAAGATGAGGCCAGATCATGGTCACTTAAGGGACTATGTTACCAGGAGAATGCGGAACTACAGTTCGATGATGGCAAGGAGGCAGTTGTGAGGTTGGATTTTTGTATCCATTCGTTGTATCACAGAAAGGTGCATGAGTGTGTTCAACATTTGGAAAATTCATTGTCTCTCAAATTTGAACCTTTATCTTTCGACACGATCGTTGCCTATATTTTGCCAACTGGTTTTCACTTAATGGGATGTACATTTGATAGATGGTTGCTTAATTTGGTTGGTCGTGTCAACCTATCTAATTATGGTCAACTAAACAGTACTTTGTAAATGTGGTAACTGTATTATGTGAATTAAAGTGATTTCCCTCTTTGTCGAGTATAATTTTTATTTCCCGATTGCTTATTTGATCATAGGTATATACATCATCGCTGTCGTTAATGGAGAACATTGAGTGAGTAGTGGTGATGTTGCATTTAGCGTACTAAGTAAAAGTGTTGCATAGGTTGGTGAGATTATGAACTTTCACTGGCTGTGAGAGGGTTGGTGCATATGTAGAGCTTGATCAGCCACTGACTACACCAGTGTTCCATGGAGGTTAGTATATATATAGGGTGGAAACAGGTTAGGAGCAACTAAATCGATTTATAAGGTCAACTCATGAAGTCAATGGCTATTAATCTGAGCCATTCAGGCTCCTTGATTGTTGTTTGTGAGACAACTGTAGTCTGTCTATGTTGTTTGTTAACTAGGTGATGAGTCGAAATTAGTTGTAATGATGAATGTGTACACATTTCTCAACATCTTGTAAGTGTTGGACATTCAAGTATTATTTTGTATCCTTCATTCGCTTTTGATGATTTGCTTGTCTTCCTCTTCGTTTATTGTGACTTATTCTCATCTGAATCTTGAGTTTCAGTTTTGTTGCTTTCCGCTTTTGATTTGATTAATTCTTTTCTTAACGTACTTTATGTATTTGGTTTCCACTACTATTAATATTATTATTTCGACTCTGTTTTTCGTTTTTTGAACTTCCTGTCCCTACACTGATGTAAAATTTGGCAACTTAAACCAATAGTCATTCGAGTCAGTTCATACGCCATATACATATAATCTCTTCACTAATTGGTCAAGTTTTACTGTTTCCTGGATATACTTTATTGTTATTGTGTTTATATTTTCAGCATACTGAAACTAACCAATCACACATGTTAACATCGTCTGGTTCTGGGAAATCATCACATTCGAAAGTTCGCCAACATGCACACGGTACAAAACATCTGATGTCTTCTTTTTCTGGTACGACAATATCCAGTTCTACTGAATATTATGGTGGTGGGGGTAAAGATAACAGTAGTATAGCAAGTCCATCAAATGTTTGTTCAGACTCAGAAGATGATGGTCATTCGCATTCAGGTTTGAGTGTAACTACCAATACATCTCACCATAATATTAGTCCTATTAATACTAACCAGCAGTTAGATTTGAATTGCTTATCATCTACCGGTCATCATAACCATCCAACATCTAGCCCATCATTGTCGTCTGTACCCAAGTCCGTAACTGATGTGCACATCTCTTCAGCAAAGTCATGTGAGTGTTTTTCACGCATGTATGCTTCTACATATCCCCCTCTTATTACAAACTGTTTGGCTTATCCTTTGTTGTAAACTTTATGCAATATTATGGTGTACTATTCCAGTAATTATTCACAGATCTCAATGCTTGTCTGTGTTATATATAGTGAATTTTGCAATAGCTATCAAAATCAACTGAAAGACTGCTCAGATTGTACATGAGAATATATAGATTTGCTCATCGTTGTATAGATGCAAGTGTCTCACTTGATTATCAAATGTTATGTTTCACTCACCAATTTTCGAAGTGGTTAATCAAGTGGAGGTTTGTGATGTGTAGCTCCAAATATGTTGGTGTTGGAAAAAAACCCAACGAAATGAGCTCTGTTCAGTGTATTTTTCACTTGATTGTGATTATGACTATCACCATTATCAGATAATGCCTAATGAATGTATTGTGAGTGATAAGTAACTAGGTTCCCCTTAATGATGACCTTACAAAACTGTCTATTTGTTATCCGCTGAGTTTTGTGAAAGGTAGGTGGGGACTTATGTGATTGCCGTGTATACCTTACTAGTTGTTAGCATAGTGGAATGTGATAGACATGTTTATTGCGGGAATTATATGTCTGTGGTGATAAAAGCTCAAGGTAGGGAGAATGCTTCAAAAGAAAGAATAAGATAGTAAAATGTCGAGTATGAATTGATGCTAAGAGTCAAAATTTCGTGGAAAACGAGAGATGAATGCATCTATACTAGTTTGTTGAGATGAAAGAGATGTTTCGTAGCCGGCAGGAGAGAGATTTATTTATTTATTTGAACACATAAATATTGGTACAAGAGAGCGCCAATATATATGCGCCACACAAAACAATGAGAATTCGAAGAGAAATAGAAAAAAAAGAGAACAATAACGAAGAGATTGGTGTAAGGTAGTGTGGTAGTAACGAGGGAACGAAAGGTACAATCAGAAGAAATCTTTCAGGTAAGGGAGACACAACCACTTTTTATGAAGAAAGTAAAAGAAGGTTACAGCAGGATCGCCACTGGCTTCTATTCTGAGCCATATCTGATAACGTCTCTAGCCACTGTGTAGCACCATCTCTCGGACCCCAACCAGGGAGTCGTGAAGGACCAACACAAGCCAGTCCTTTGCAGCTTTCTTTCATGCCACGACACCATGTCATGCACTGACCACCTCTCCGCTTCTTCCAACCAGTCCCAGAGTCGGCAAATAATGCACGACGTGGAATTCTCTGGGACGACATTCGGAGAACATGTCCAAGCCACCGAAGTCGGTGTTTCAAGATGGTGACACCAATTGAGTTATCATCTCTGTGCCCGAACACACGATGCCGAACCTCTGCATTACTGACATGGTGTTGCCACTGAATGTCAGCAATCCTTCGGAGACAGCGATGATCGAACACAGAGAGTCGTCTAACGTCCTCAACTCGGAGAGGCCAGGTTTCACAAGCATAGAGCAAAACTGCTCTCACCGACGCGTTGTAGATCCGCCTTTTACAGCCAGACTAACATCACGAAGGCGCCAAAGGTGGCCCAGATTGGCATAAGCCGCTCTGGCTTTCACTATTCGTGCATTGATCTCATCACTCACACCCCCACCAGCACTTATGCAGCTACCCAGATACACGAACTTCTCAACTACGTCTATCTGCTCACCATCCAGGGTGAGTACAGGATTAGAATCCTGCCAGTCTTGTAGAAGTACTTTGCACTTCGAAGGTGCAAAGCACATACCATACCTACGGACACTGATTGCCAACTGATTAAGTGCGGATTGCATGCCTTGGGCATTATCGCACAGTAAGACAATATCGTCCGCATACTCAAGGTCGAGAAGTCTTTCTCCAGGCAACAGATCCACACCACCATTACTTACATTCATCAGAGCTGTTTCCAGAATGTCATCGATGGCAAAGTTGAAGAGGAATGGTGAGATTGGGCAACCCTGCCTAACCCCACTGCTCGAATGGAACAATGGAGAGAGGTGGTTGTATGCCCTCACTCTGCCTGAGGTGTTTTTATAGGGCTTTTAGGATGTTAATAAACTTCTCAGGCACACCCTTCTTCAATAGACAATCCCAGAGAACAGTCCTATCCAACGAATCGAAGGCAGCCCTGATGTCAAGAAACACTACGATTGTTGGCCTTTGAAAAGTATGGCGGTGTTCTAACATTTGGCGGAGGGTGAAGATATGATCAATACATCCTCGACCAGAACGAAACCCAGCCTGCTCCTCGCGAGTCAATCTTTCTCGGGTTTTGAACAACCTACGAAGTATGACGGAAGCCAATAGCTTGGACGCAATCGGAAGTAACTTATCCCCCGATAGTTGTTACAGGAACGACGTGAACCCTTTTTAAAGATAGGGACAACTATCGACTCATTCCATGACGTTGGTACACTCTCTAGTTCCCAAACCTTTGTAAACAACGTCGTCAATTCCTTAGTCAAAAAGTCACCACCATCTTTAAAAAGAGCCGGAGGTAAGTCATCTGGGCCAGGTGATTTGTAACGCTTCAAGAGTTGGAGTTCCTTGCGGACTTCCTCCTCATTTGGTGGATCAGTCGTCACCGGCCATGGAGGGCAGGACAGTCTGACCGATGTTGCCGGAGCAGCAGGCCAGTTGAACTGCCCTTCGAAAAATTCTGCCCATCGTCCAAGACGTCGATGGATGTTAGTGATTGGCATCCCATCATCCTCGCAGATTGTTTCACTCACACCAGACTTCTTGCTGCCAGTGGCTCGGATGAGTTGGAAGAGCTTCCGGTAGTTACCAGATGCAGCTGCTGCTTCCAGCTCATTAGCACGCATCGACCACCAGGCTTCTCGGTCCTTACGCAAGCTTTGCCCGATTTCCTTACGTAAATCCTTCGTTTATGGTCAAACTCACGGTCACCCGGAGTAGACCGACGGGCTTCAATGAGTTGTAAGGAACCAGAAGAAACCCAGTGCTTAAAAGCGGGACGTTTCGCAAACCCACAACTGACTGTTCCCGCCATTTTCATGGCGTCATGCAATTGCAACCAATGCTCATCTATACTTTTCGGTGGAGTGGTAGCTAGCCTAGAGGCTAGCTCGGTTCGATACTTACTTGCAACAGAAGTTGCAACCAGCTTGCTAACATCAATCCGTTGATGGCGTTCACTTCGTTGTCCACTGAAAAGTAAGGCAAGATTGGCGCAGACCAAGGCATGGTCAGAGTCCAGATAGGTACTCCAAAAGGAGCGGCAGTCTTGTACACAACCACGCCAGCGGTAGCTGATCGCGATGTGATCAATCTGAGTCCAGGCTTGAGATGCAGAGGGAGGACGCCAGGTGGCACATCGGCGATGACTGTGCCGAAAGTTAGTGCTAGCCAGAAACAGGTTGTGGTCTGTGCAAAGTTGCAGTAGACGGTCCCCGTTATCTGACCTGCGACCAACGAGTCCCCATCGGCCACCTAAACGACTCTCTTCTGTGCCTAGACGCCCGACCTGAGCATTCAAGTCTCCGGCTAGTACTACAATATCTGTTGTTATGGCTTTAGGTTGCTGTCGATTTTTACCCTGTGCTAATTGTTGTGTCCTTGACTGGGAAATTAGAGAGCAGCGTACTTATCGATCGATTACAGTGACACGTAAACACGAACGGACGGCCTAGAGTCTCGATTGGTCTCGCTTCCCTGTCTAGCCCAGTCAGTTGAGTCCAGAACACAAGCCACAGCCTCGGAGATATGAATCATTATATTTCAAACATACTCTGTTTATATACTAACCAAGCATACCACATCGTACCATAAAATAGAAAACAACATTTTGTACAATATTCAACAAGTGAACAGATATCGACCAATAGGAAATGTCCATTTAAAGTCCAAGGACACCATTGGACTTAACATGATAATTGTTGGTCTATTACTCCGCATCCACAACATCTGTCGAACGCACTTTCTGGAGAAGAACAGATAACTGGTGGTACAACTCATCCTTGATTGCATCCGGGCTACAATCTGTCGGGGCATAGGCGGAGATGACGAAAAGACATCGTTTCTCACGCCGATTTCTTCTCACTTTGATGGAACTTTCTAATCTAACAGCACATAACCGACTGTTAATGGGGATCCAATCGACTAGTGCTGCCTCAGCTCTAGCGCTTAGTGCGACACCAACGCCAGCAAGACTAGACGAAGATGCCACAGGGTCCCCGGATAAGCGCACGTAAAACAAGCTTTTCGAAGCGACAGATGGAGATCGAATTTGTAGTACTTCGCCAGAGTCTTGAATACGGGTCTCGGATAGACAACAAACATCAATATTAAGACTTTCCAAAGACATAGCCAGTCCTATCTGTTGACCAACCTGCAAAAGTGTGCGAACGTTGAAGGCAGCCAGTTTGAATGGTGCACGTGGTTTCAGGAAAACTGCTACAGTCCTCGTATTTGGTGGTAACATACAATTTTCAACCGGACAGTGACTCGAGAACGTTTAGATACAGTCGAGTTTCCACCAAAGACGAGCCGCTGTATAAGTATAAAAGAGGGTGAATAATGTGGAAAATAATAACAATAATAATAATAATAATAATAATAATAATAATAATTTGAATCAATTGATTGTTTTTCGAAGCGAGAAAAGTAATTTCCATAGGCATAGAGAGTTCATCATTTGTGTGTGGGCTGTGATACTGCCCGGGTGCCCAAACCGAAGCAGGTGGTTATCTTAAGGGGGCCACACCCCGAGCCTTTGACCTAAAGGTCTAACCCAGAAGGCAGTGGAGCATCGTAAGGAGATGCAATCCCATGGTAGCCAGTGACCAACGATTGGTTCATACGACATTTGTTCCCGCAGGATACTGGTGCCCATGTGCACCATTGGTTTGTGATCCGGTTAAAGCGCCGGCAGGTCTACTATGTGAATCAAAAGTCCATCGGCTAGTGGCTTCTTATCACACAGTCAGATTGTCATGGTGTCAGATTTGACCTATGTCATCTCTTACGTATTTGTCTAGTTAACGTTACCCAGCAGTCAGC